GTCTACCTGGTCATCGCGTTGGCGTCGGTGTCGTCGCTCTTCCTGTTCTCGGTGCTGGCGTTCATCGCGGTGCGGCTGTGCAGGAGGAATAGGGCCGCCTGGGTGGGTGGCTGCTCGGTGCCCGAGGGCCACTTTCCGGGCCACTTGGCGGACGTCAGCGGCACGGGGACCCTGTCTCACAGCTACCAATATGAGGTGTGTCTGACGGGGGGCTCGGGGACCAGCGAGTTTAAGTTTCTAAAACCGATTATCCCCAATCTCGTATCCCAGAATTCTGGGAGAGAAATGGAAGAAAATCCATCCTTTCGAAATAGCTTTGGCATTTAATTATTGATAAGAACCTATTTAATAAGGACAATAACTTCTAATATATAACTTCTAATATATTATGTCGATTAATAAATTGCTTAAGTTCACTACCACCAATAAGATGCTGTTTTCATTTTGGTTCATCCTCAATTTCCAATTTTACATTTAGGTCAGAAGTTTTCTATTCCTCATGTATTTGCTTTACCTTCAAAATTGATATTATTAATTTTTCCACCATATAAATGTCTTTATTCACTTTCTAATTACATTTAGTATTTTAGTATTTTAGTATTTTGCATAGAATTTTTCAATTATTAAAATAATCTGTTGCATGTGATCTGTGTACCATGTGATATTTCTTCTATTTTCCTTTTAAAACTGGTATTGTGTTTGATTTGTCATCTTCAGTTCTCATTATAGCAGTTTTCTTAAACTATTACCTTTTTAAAAAGTTTTACTTTCCCTGTATTGATATCCGCCGATTTTATATACATTTTTGTTGCATTACGGTGTGATAAATAAATTTCTAATCAGCTCTGAAAATAAGAAGAAACACCATTGAAAGGTATTAAGTGTGTGTATATATGGTTAAATTTAAAGACAAAAAAGGCAAAGTTTAGGCATTCTATAGCATCATGCAGAAATATTTAATTTTTGCATTTACATCTGTATGAAAAAATCAGAGATCCTTGTTAAGTGTTTAATGACTAACAATGCAGTCTCATTCAGCTGAAAAAATAGAGGTCAGCAAGCAGAGGTTTATTCGGTGTAGTTTTATAGTCAACAATTACTGTTTTGGGCAGTATCTAGCCTTTTCTCTGTATAATATCCTTCGATTTATTCTGTATCTCATTCTTATTATGGGAAAATAGAGGTCCTTTATGTATTTTAGGTCTTTGAATAAAATTCTATATGAGGCAGGCATTAAAATGATGTCCTTATTTTCCGTAGTGTTAGGATAGGCATTAGTGCGGTTTACTCTTTACTCACCTGTTTTGTGCAAAGAAATTAGATCCCACTAGATTTTATTAGAATGACCTTAAAATAAAGGCCAACTCTTCTTTAATTCTGAAAGTAATTTTAAAACTAATATAAAAAGACAAAGACATATAAAAAAAGGGAACAGAAACTGCAAAGAATGAGTAAATAAAAGGATACAATTTTCAAATGGTCAGAATTTAAAGTCACTAAAACTTGTTTTGTATCGTATTCAAGGGTTTATTTATGCATATCTGAACACAGCAAACATTTAATGAGTGTCTAATTTGCCAACCAAGATGACAAAGGCATAGTTTCCATCTTTAAGTAGAGACAGATTGGCATGAAACAGGAAGAAATAATATTTATGAGACAATTATCTAAGTTTTATGGGAGTACAGAGGAGGGAAAACCTATATGCTCCCTTCTGGATTATAGAGTGATGATTCTTTTTAAGCAATGTAATAGATTTTGAGAAAATTTGTTGAAGAAGGTGTGAAACAAGTTTCTTTTGTTGGTTTTTAGTGTTCTTATAACCAATGTTTCTGGAAAAGTAAAAACTATTATTTTGGTGGTCCTAGAGGTCACCACAAATTTCCCTTTGGTTCCTGACATTGCATGGTAGTAGTGTCAGAAGTGAAAGGCCTAGTACGGAACTAAATCTAGCACAATGAGGTGGAGTTAACTGCTAGAAACTTTCTTTTTCCAACTGTTGAATTTTTAGCTTTCTCATGAAGCAGTGAAAAATCTCAACAACGTGAACAGTTCTCTATCCCAATATTATTTTTCACGAGACAATGAAATACTTAAATGAGCCCCTAAAGAATAAATTTATAAATATATATACACACACAAGTTGGGTTCAGTCATTTGAGTCTGTTGGAGGCCACGCGGTGGCGCTGCAGGCTAAAGAGACTGGAAAAAAGAACTAAATTGAGAACACTGCTGATGTCACTAACAAAAAAGAACGCCGCAGGTAGGCTGGGAGAAAACCGCAGCTACCCCAGATTAGGAAAGGAACAAAATCCCAGGTCCCTGCTACTACGTAGTGTAGATTTGGAGTTTGCAACTGCATTTTCCTTTATGCTGGGAGCTGTGATTGTGACCAATATTGACGAAAGACGTGTTCAAAAGAAGCTATGGAGGCTGGAGGGTTGTGCTGCCCAAGACAAAGGCAAGTCCTGTTTCTCGTTCTGTTTGGGGGAGTATACTTGGCAGGTTCTGGATTTGGACAATATTCAGTGACAGAGGAAACAGAGAGAGGATCATTTGTGGTCAATCTGGCAAAGGACCTGGGGCTAGGGGACCAGGAGCTGGTTGCAAGGGGAGCCCGGGTGGTCTTTGATGATAATGAACATCACTTGTTTCTGGATTCTCATACTGGGGATTTGCTCACAAATGAACAACTGGACCGGGAGAAGCTGTGTGGCTCCACAGAGCCCTGTATGTTGTATTTCCAAATTCTAATGAATAACCCCTTTCAGATTTATCGGGCTGAGCTGAGGGTCAGGGACATAAATGATCATTCACCAGTGTTTCAGAACAAAGAAATAGTCTTAAAAATATTAGAAAATACAGCTGAAGGAACATCATTTCGACTAGAAAGAGCACAGGATTCAGATGGAGGACTTAATGGTATCCAAAACTACACCATCAATCCCAACTCTTTTTTCTATGTTAAAATTAGCGACAGTGATGAAGATATGATATATCCAGAGCTAGTGTTGGACAAGGCACTGGATAGGGAGAAGCAGCAAGAGCTCGGTTTAACACTCACAGCACTGGATGGCGGGTCACCACCCAGGTCTGGGACTGCCACTATACGCATTGTGATCCTGGACATCAATGACAATGCCCCAAAATTTTCTCAGGCAATCTACCACACCCAGGCTCCAGAGAACAGTCAAGTAGGATCAATTATTGCTAAAGTCTCAGCAGAAGATGTAGACTCTGGAGTCTATGCAGACATATCCTATTCATTTTTTGATGCTTCTGAAGATATTCGAACAACCTTTCAAATAAATTCTTATTCTGGGGAAATTATTCTAAGAATGTTGCTTGACTTTGAGATAGTAAAGTCTTACAAAATAAATATACAGGCAGTCGACGGTGGGGGCCTTTCTGCAAGATGTATGGTTTTGGTTGAGGTATTAGACACCAATGACAATCCTCCTGAGCTGATCATGTCATCACTTTCCAACCACGTTGCTGAGAATTCTCCTGAGAGCATACTGGCTGTTTTTAAGATTAAAGACAGAGATTCTGGAGAAAATGGAAAGATGCTTTGCTACATTCAAGATAATCTGCCATTTCTTCTGAGACCCTCTGTGGAGAATTTTTACATGCTAATGACAGAAGGTGCGCTGGACAGAGAAAGCAAAGCTGAATACAATGTCACCATCACCGTCACCGACCTGGGGTCACCCAGGCTAAAAACAGAGCACAACGTAACCGTGATGGTCTCCGACGTCAACGACAACGCCCCGGCCTTCACCCAAACCTCCTACACGCTGTTCGTCCGCGAGAACAACAGCCCCGCCCTGCACATCGGCAGCGTCAGCGCCACAGACAGAGACGCGGGTGCCAACGCCCAGGTCACCTACTCGCTGCTGCCGCCCCAGGACCCGCAGCTGCCCCTGGCCTCCCTGGTGTCCATCAACGCGGACAACGGGCAGCTGTTCGCCCTGAGGGCGCTGGATTACGAGGCCCTGCGGGTCTTGGAGTTCGGCGTGGGCGCCGTGGACCGCGGCTCCCCGGCGCTGAGCAGCCAGGCGCTGGTGCGCGTGCTGGTGCTGGACGCCAACGACAACTCGCCCTTCGTGCTGTACCCGCTGCAGAACGGCTCCGCGGCCTGCACCGAGCTGGTGCCCAGGGCGGCCGAGCCGGGCTACCTGGTGAGCAAGGTGGTGGCGGTGGACGGCGACTCGGGCCAGAACGCCTGGCTGTCGTACCAGCTGCTCAAGGCCACGGAGCCCGGGCTGTTCAGCGTGTGGGCGCACAACGGCGAGGTGCGCACGGCGCGGCTGCTGAGCGAGCGCGACGCGGCCAAGCACAGGCTGCTGGTGCTGGTCAAGGACAATGGCGAGCCGCCGCTGTCGGCCAGCGTCACGCTGCACGTGCTGCTGGTGGACGGCTTCTCGCAGCCCTACCTGCCGCTCCCGGAAGCGGCTGCCGACGCGGCCCAGGCCGACCCGCTCACGGTCTACCTGGTCATCGCGTTGGCGTCGGTGTCGTCGCTCTTCCTGTTCTCGGTGCTGGCGTTCATCGCGGTGCGGCTGTGCAGGAGGAATAGGGCCGCCTGGGTGGGTGGCTGCTCGGTGCCCGAGGGCCACTTTCCGGGCCACCTGGTGGACGTCAGCGGCACGGGGACCCTGTCTCACAGCTACCAATATAAGGTGTGTCTGACGGGAGGCTCAGGGACCAGCGAGTTCAAGTTCCTCAAACCCATTGTCCCCAATATTCAGGCACAGGGCCCTGGGAGCACTAGTGAAGAAAATCCCACCTTCCGAAATAGCTTTGGATTTACTTTTCAGTAAAAATTCTTTTTATGTTTTCATGTACTTTCGAAGTATTATACAATCATATTAGTTTAGTTTTAAAATTTCAAGTTAAAGAATTATTCTACTTCGAGTCTAATTTTAAAGTATTATAAGTTTGTTTTTGTTATTTCATCCTTGTTTGCACTATTAAACAGCTTTAATTAGTACCATTTCTAAACAGTATTTTAAAGGTTTACTACTTTCAAAATGTACAATGATTTAACTTTTATTATATTTCATTCTAGAAAACTGAGATTTTGATACTTCTAGTATATTTCACAGACTACATCTCATAATTCTCCCCATACCTCTATTGTATTTCCTTCATTTAAGAAGACATATCTGTACTTCTGACCTTGTTCTAACATTGTCTAATCATGTTAGAAATCCATGGCATTTGGTTCTAAATCATAGCATTTAAAAAGAAATATTTCTTTATTATTCTACTTATGATAAAATGAAACATTATTCTGTGAGTGATATTGGACTCCAGTAATATTCTTGTGTTTATATTACCTCATTTCCTTTACATATACTACTCTTACTCTATTTTCTGATGTTCCCTTTGCTGATTCATAACACAGATCATGTCCTGTAACTTAAACAAAATATAATAACCTGCATGAAAATGAATAGAAATTAAAACATTTTGAAAATTTGAAAGTGAGAATGTTGATCCACTTTTGGAAAGATATTCACTTTTCATCTTATTATGTAAATTTATTTAATTATTATCAAATTTAAAAATCAAGATGAACTAAAATTATAAAGGAGAATATATTCTTCACTCTCCAGCTGCCTTCTGAGTGGTTTCTCTAGAATGATGTCAATATTTCTAAGTTATATGTTTACATTTCCATATCTTGATATTCAGTTTTATACTTTAATCACTTCACCCTATGTTAAAGGATTTAACTTTCTTACTTTCCAACTAACAAACACACATACAAACATTGCACATTTCTATTCTATTTCCCAGTTATGTTAAACCAGTAGTTTTTGTATATATAACTAAGATTATTTCAAAATACATGTCGGCATAGTATGATTCCATGTACTTTCTTGAAAATCATCTTTCCTAGAGCTGACCATTGTTGTTTTTACTTGCATCATTTTCTATTTACTGCTATTAATTTTTCATATTATTCCTCATTTGACTCAATCTTTCTATATAAATATTCAAATATGCCAGGTACCTATTATTTATTTCCTTGAGATCATTCACCCAGATCCTGCTATATCTCTGCTTCATTTACACTGGCTTCATTTATATCTCTGCTTCATTTACACTTCATTTCTATAGGCTGTCACCCTAGGACTTTTTTCCCTTCAATACTTTCTTGTATTCATCCCCTTATACTATGTCCAGTACATTTTTCTTTCTTAGATTACTCTCTTATCTAGATGGTACACATCTCTCAATACCTTCATAAAATGGATGCAGAGGAGGTAAAAGTTTTGGAGAACTTGCCTTGTGAAGGTATTTTCATTGATAGCTTGGCAGGGTATAAAATTCTAGGTCAAAAATAATTTTCTCTCAGATTTTTAAAAACTTTATTATTAGTTTCAAGTATGCAGTACATTGGTTAGACATTTACACGGTTTATAAAATGATCCCCTTTCTCTCTTCTGGCTCTCCATCTAGCCATTACATTAATGCTAACTGCATTCCCTCTGCCATGCTCCCCATCCCTGTGCCCATCTATCAACTACTAATTTGTACTTATTTAACCCTTCACCACATTCCCCCCAGTCCCCAACCCCCCTCGCCTCTGGCCATCACCAGATTGTCCACTATGTTTGTGTGTCTATTTTTTTTATTACTTTGTTCTTTTTGTTCCTTAGATTCTGCATATAAGTGAAATCATATGTTATTTGTCTTCGTCTGACTTATTTCACTCAACACAATAACCTGTAGGTCCATCCATGTCATTGCAAATGACAAAATAACCTCTAGGTCCATCCATGTCATTGCAAACGGCAAGATTTAATTTTTTAATGGGTGAGTAATATTCCATTGTATATATGAACCATAACTTCTTTATCCAATCATCTGTTGATGGGCATTTAGGTTGCTTCCATATCTTGGCTATTATAAATTGTGCTGCCATCCCTCAGATTTTGAAAGGAGTGTTTCTTTTACTGACTTCATATGGTGTTGTTCAGAGGACTGATTCCATTCTGATTTCTATCTCTTTTAATGTCACTCCATTTTTTTTTATTGTGGATGCATTGGAAACTTTCCCCTCATATTCTTAAAGTACCTTAATATCAGCTATGCATTACTTTGTTTGGTCACATGTGTGTACCCTGTTAATGTTTAGATACTCACTTTCAGTTCTGAGAAATTTTCTTGTTATGTTTCCTTCATAATTTCTCCCTTGAGTTTTCTATGTTCTCATTTTAACCAGAATCTCATTAGTTAAATATTGGATCTCCTGGACTAAGTCTCTACTTATTTTCTCTTTGTCTCTAGTTCTACTTTTTGGAAAATTTATTTTATTATCCAATCCTTTTTTTTTTCTTTTTGGCTGACAAATATTTATTTTTAAGAGCCCTTTTTGGTTCTCTGAGTGTTTTATAACATCCTTTATAAATTTGTAAATGTAATGTCTTCTCTCATCTATAAATAACCTAGTTGTTCTTTTAAAATGCCGCATACAAAAAAATGCAGTAAAACTGCTATTATACCTATTTTCAAAATGGGAGAGTCACAGGGAAATTAAGAATTTACCCAAGATTATATAGCTAGTAAAGGGCACATAAGACATAATTATTCTTTATCTTACAATAAGAATATATCTACATACAGTTACTACTAAGATTAAATGAGTAAACACATATATGGCACTTAAAATAATGGGTAGCAGAGAGTAAATACTCAATAAATATTAGTTCTTATTAGATATTACTACCCTGGGGATATTAATCAGACATTTTAAAGTACTTTCTTCAGTTTTCTCTATTATATCTGTTTGTTTCCTGCTGTTCTTTTTTTGAGGTGATTTTGGCCTTTCTTCGTTGTAGGCATTTCCTCAAATATCTAATGGTCCTTGGCTCTCTTCTCATGTTTAAGGATGATGACATATTATAGTGCTGACAGCCAGCTCTTTGTGAGTGCGTGAGGCCTGTTGATAGCAGGGCTTTCACACTAATGTAACCATGCTAGGGTAGGGCTATTACCTAGAGAGATCTTCAAATATCAGTATGTGTAGGTCTTTATCTGAGCCTTCCATATCCTCCAGGTTAGGATTCTGCAATATCTTCTGTGTGAGGGTTAGGGAGGGAATTAGGCATATACTTTGTGACTTACAATTGGAGAGTATTACATGGGAAGAGGCTAGAAATCTCACCATTCAGGATGCAAAGTTTTGTTTAATCTTCCAATTTTAATTTCACACCTCACACTTGCACTCAGTCTGTCTACGGTCTCCAAAACTAAGGATAGTCCCATTTAATTTCTTCATAGAATAAATCTTTCATCCTCTGGCCCTGAGTTTCTTTCCTGTCTGTATAGGATGATTATAGGATCAGAGAATTCAACTCTCCTATATATCTACTTTCAACTAATAACTTGTTTTTAGTCCTTAGCTGACTTCAGTCTTCTTCTACACTTGGTTCCTCTAAATCTTGTACCTAAATGGTATTATGTGAGACAAACCTACTAGTTTCTTGTGAATACCTCCAATGCAAGAACTTTAGACATTTCTTGAAACTGCTAATTCAACTGCTCTTACATCTGCTTTCTGTCATCATATATGTGTGTTCACTTGTGTATTCTTAGTTTTTGTGAGTTCATACCATTTTCTTATAGTTATGTCATTTTCATGGGTATTTTTTAAAAGGGAGGATAACAGTATGTAGTCAATCCAACACATCTCAATTTCTACCCTTTTGTAGTGATTGATTTTTCAACCATGTATCTAGTTTACATTTTTAAAAAGCTTAATTTGAACTTAACTTTTTAAAAATGCAAACTTGTTAGATCTCTTCATCTATTCTTGAGATCACTTTTGAGACCTCCTAGTGTGCACACTGGTGAGCTTCTAGCGTCTATGCCAAATGATCTTCCTTATTACATAGCAGCCATGCCCTTTGACTAAGACTGAAATCAAAACAAATCAAAGGACAAAGCTAGGTCTTCAGATTCTGGGATAAAATCTCTATAACTCTATACCTCTTGAAACAATGATTGTTTCAGTAGCAGGTACATGATCTTAGTTGGTCTAATCAGAGTAAAACTAAGTTTTTGTTCTATGATTGGGAAAGAGAGTCTCGCTTTGTCTTTCTGGGCAGAAAGAGGAAGTAGATGACCATAGTTGTTGCTAGAGTAGATCTTGGAACCCTGAGGGAAGCCTGCCCTAGGAGTGATTCTGCTTTAAATGAAACTAACATGTTTGTGTTTGTGTATTTATTAAATATTTCTGTAAATTATAAGAAACTAGAACTAAATTACAGATTTACATAACATGTTCCACCCCAATATCTTCATTTTCTTCCAGTTCACAGTTCATTGCTATCAAGGAAATCTGAAATGCCTCCTGTTGCTATAACAACTATCTATATATGTCCCATCTCATGGTTAATCCAGTTTTATATACTCTGAGAGCACTTCTGATATGATTCATGTACACTTTCCCTTTCCCTTACCAGCTAAAGAAGGCCAAGTAGTGATGGAATTTTGTTTAGCTTAACAGTCACTTATATTCTCCTGGTTTCAAGTTTTCAATCTTCTATGAAAAATTACAAGCTATTCGTGGCCAGGAATCACATCTTCTACTTCTGTATTCACTACACCTGAGAATTTTCAGTTGTTGGGAGAGTGGGGATGGATACTTAAATGCTGTAAAACAAATACTAACAGCATCACGAACTATAAAGAGTATATAAATCAGTTCTTGTAGAAGATAGAATATATTTGTAATCATTTAAACACAATGAATAAGCCAATATTTGTTTCCAAAGGACGTTTATGCGAACAGAATTTAGGTAGCTTTCCTCAAACTCTAAAAATCTGTGCAGACGCATGGTGGCGCTGCAGGATAATATTGTGAGGTGGCGAGACCTACACTAGATGATGTTCCGGACACTGTTACCCAGTGCTCGCAGAGCGTTGGGAAGACAGAAGACTTAGAGGAGCGAACTACACGCCCCTTTCAAAGGGGTTAAAATCCTTAGGCCTCCAAAGATTCTGTGGACATACCAGAGGCACGTTTCCCAGAACTGCGAAGACTAGCTTAAGCGATTCTGCAGAAAGCCTTTGGGAAAGGAACTATGCAGAACGGAGGGGCAGGAGCTCTGCGGATAAGGCAAGTTCTGCTTCTCTTTGTTTTGCTGGGAATGTCTCAGGCGGGCTCCAAGTCTGGACGCTTTTCCGTGGCAGAGGAAATGCAGAGTGGGAGCTATGTAGGCAATTTGGCAAAGGACCTAGGACTGGAAGTGGGTGAACTGTTCTCTAGGGGGGCTCAGGTAGTCTCTAATGATAACAAACACCGTTTGCAGCTGGATCTAAACAACGGGAATTTGCTCTTAAGCGAAGCGCTAGACAGGGAAGAGCTCTGTGGCTTCACGGAGCCCTGTGTGCTGCATTTCCAGGTGCTAATGAAAAACCCCTTGCAGATTTTACGGATTGAGCTGGAGGTCAGGGACATAAATGACCATTCTCCTGTCTTCTTAGAAAAAGAAATGCTCCTAGAAATCCCAGAGCATACTCCTGTCGGTGCAATATTCTTACTAGAAAGTGCAAAGGATTTAGATGTAGGAATCAACGCTCTAAAAAGCTACACAATAAGCCCCAACTCTCATTTCCACATTAAAATGAGAGTGAATCCAGACAATAAAAAATACCCAGAGTTAGTTCTGGACAAGGCCCTGGATTATGAAGAGCAGTCCCAACTCAGTTTCATCCTCACTGCTGTGGATGGCGGTTCCCCACCCAGGTCTGGGACTGCTTCTGTTCGGGTAGTGGTCGTGGACAGTAATGACAACTCCCCAGAGTTTGAGCAGCAATTTTATGAGGTGAAAATTCCAGAGAATAGCATGCTAGGCTCACTGGTTGTCACCGTCTCAGCTTGGGATTTAGACTCAGGAAAAAATGGAGAAATATCATATACTTTTTCCCACGCCTCAGAAGATATTCGAAAGACTTTTGAAATTAATCAAAAGTCTGGGCAAGTTAGTTTAACGTCATCCTTGGATTTTGAAACAATTCAATCATACTCAATAATCATTCAAGCCACAGATGGGGGAGGCCTTTTTGGAAAATCGACAGTCAGAATTCAGGTGATGGATGTGAACGACAATACTCCTGAAGTCACTGTTTCATCAATTACCAGTCCAATTCCAGAAAATTCGCTTGAGACTGTGGTTATGATTTTTAGTATCCGAGATAGAGATTCTGGGGACAATGGAAGGATGATTTGTTCTATCCCAGAAGACCTCCCTTTCGTGTTGAAATCTTCTATTGAAAATTACTACACATTGGAAACGGAAGGAACCCTGGACAGAGAAAGCAGGGCCCAGTACAACATCACCATCACTGTCACCGACTTGGGGACACCCAGACTGAAAACCCAGCACAACATAACGCTGATGGTCTCCGACGTCAACGACAACGCCCCGGCCTTCACCCAAACCTCCTACACGCTGTTCGTCCGCGAGAACAACAGCCCCGCCCTGCACATCGGCAGCGTCAGCGCCACAGACAGAGACGCGGGCGCCAACGCCCAGGTCACCTACTCGCTGCTGCCGCCCCAGGACCCGCAGCTGCCCCTGGCCTCCCTGGTGTCCATCAACGCGGACAACGGGCAGCTGTTCGCCCTGAGGGCGCTGGATTACGAGGCCCTGCGGGTCTTGGAGTTCGGCGTGGGCGCCGTGGACCGCGGCTCCCCGGCGCTGAGCAGCCAGGCGCTGGTGCGCGTGCTGGTGCTGGACGCCAACGACAACTCGCCCTTCGTGCTGTACCCGCTGCAGAACGGCTCCGCGGCCTGCACCGAGCTGGTGCCCAGGGCGGCCGAGCCGGGCTACCTGGTGAGCAAGGTGGTGGCGGTGGACGGCGACTCGGGCCAGAACGCCTGGCTGTCGTACCAGCTGCTCAAGGCCACGGAGCCCGGGCTGTTCAGCGTGTGGGCGCACAACGGCGAGGTGCGCACGGCGCGGCTGCTGAGCGAGCGCGACGCGGCCAAGCACAGGCTGCTGGTGCTGGTCAAGGACAATGGCGAGCCGCCGCTGTCGGCCAGCGTCACGCTGCACGTGCTGCTGGTGGACGGCTTCTCGCAGCCCTACCTGCCGCTCCCGGAAGCGGCTGCCGACGCGGCCCAGGCCGACCCGCTCACGGTCTACCTGGTCATCGCGTTGGCGTCGGTGTCGTCGCTCTTCCTTTTCTCGGTGCTGGCGTTCATCGCGGTGCGGCTGTGCAGGAGGAATAGGGCCTCCTGGGCGGGTGGCTGCTCGGAGCCTGAAGGGCACTTTCTGGGCCAGCTAGTGGACGTCAGTGGTACGGGGACCCTGTCCCAGAATTACCAGCATGAGGTGTGTCTGAGAGGAGGTACTGCGACAAATGAGTTCAAATTCTTGAAGCCAATTATCCCCAACCTCCCGCTCCAATGTCCGGAGAAAGAGGAAAATCCTCCCTTTTGCAGTAGCTTTGGATTCAGTATTCAGTGACCATAATTAACTTTTATACCCCATATGCATTTTGTTTTCTGCCACTTCTAGACCAATGTTAGTTATCTCCCCCACCAATTTGTGGATATTTAAAATTGTACTGATGTTACTTTTGTATTTCACATGCTCTACCCACGTTTACTTTTAAGTGAATGTTTATCATTACTTGTGGTGTAATTAGGTGGTAATTCTCTAACCCAGGAAGTCTTAATTTGTAATTAATTTGCCTCCTTAAATAATACCAAATGACTTTTTGTCCCTGACCCTCTCTCCAATTGAACTTTCACCCACAATTATGCCTACGGTAAAATAAAGCAGCCCACTTTAATGAAATTTATTGGAAAACTCCTCCCCCAACAATAAAGGCATTTTCTTCTGTAATATAGTTAGATCGCTAAAGGCAAGAGTATTTTAAGTGTTCAAGCAATTCTTCATTTTACTTAAATTTTTTTTGCAGTTTTTCTTGTGGTTGCTATTCAGAAATATTTTTTCTTTCTTTAAATCACTGAATTTTTAGTTAACATTTAAAAATGTCTATTGCTATTGAAAATATACATTAAAAATCATGTCCTATGATGCAAGCATAAGTGTTATTACCTTGTTAGAGAGGGCTGGAAGGCAATTTTCCTAGCATTTCTTCATTATTCATCCTAGAGCATAATTGTGAAGGCACATTAATATTGTGGCCACCCACAAAATCTTTGAATGTGAAGTTATAATTTTCCAGATGTCTCATTATAGTACAAAGCTATACTACAATCTAGTTAAATGCAAGTGCCTGAATAATAATTTGTATAGTATAAAATGTACTTGTGTGCTAATGTATATAATGTTTTGCCTCCTGTTTTCTCTCAGGATTTAATGTATATACAATGGGTACAATTTTCAAACTTAAAAGAATTATAGCCAGTAGAAAAATTATGTTGTACGGATTATGCAACATACAAACATAATAGAAAGAAATGTTTGTTAATTATTTTTTCTAATGCTTAGCTTTCTTGTGATGCAATCTGAAATTACCTGTGTTATTCCATTCTACTTAATTTTCTCATGTTGTCATGATAAATTGATTTCATGACCTACTAAGGGATATTAACTCAAAATTTGGAAACCACTGTTTGAGGAGATGTAGGTAGAACACTGATAAGTATCAAAAGATAGTCCTTTAAGGTTCTAATTTTTTAAAAATTTCAAACCATTGTGGGAGTAAGCTTTGTCTCATGTTACACAGGCACCAACCAACCACGCTTGCCTTTAGTGATCTAACTATATTACAGAAGAAAAAGCCTTTATTGTTGGGGAAAAAGTTTTCCAATAAATTTCATTAAAAAAATCTAAAGCCTATATGATGTTAAAGGAAAGAGTAATGAACAAAATGAGTCAGAATATAGAGGAAAAGGAAGCATATGTATGAGAAAGAGGAGGCATGGGAACGATGAAATGAGTGAGGGTGACTATAATGATTGCTTCTGTTGCTTCTAGTGCCACAAACTAGAATCAGTGCTAGAAACTGCCCCTTCAAGATATTTTTAAACTTCATCTTAACATTGTAGAGGGACTGGATATTAGTTAATACTGTCAGGAAGTACAATCTCTTGCTCTAGCATTTCCAAAATAATCTGATGTTTACATTTCTTGAAAGCTAAGATTTCACTACCAATTCTTTTGAACTGTGTGAACTGATTAATTATTTTTTGAATTCAAGAAAAATAAAGAGAATAGAAGTTGCTCCATGTTGGCTAATTAAATTCTAATTTTCTATTTTTTAGAAGTGGAAGTAGGAGCAAGATCTTTCCCCCCTAAATGAAAGCTGCTTAACATAGAGAACAACAACTCATAAGCTATTAATAAAGTGAAGTATTAAGATTACTTCCTGTCTTTATTGCACTTAATGGGGGAAATGATGGAAGATCACTAGCTTAAAGAGATATAAAGTGTCATAGCTTCTTCGCATGCCAGACAATAATAATCCTAGGAGCTGAATACTATTATTACCTCTATTTTCCAGGTAAGGAAGCAGAGATATATAACGTACTTAATGCTGACAGTGAGTGGCAGACTAGAATTCTAATGTAGACATTTTGGTTCCAAAATCCATGCTCGTAATGACTGTGCTATGCTGCCTCCTAGGTATAACATGTCCCTTCCAGATATTTGTGTATTACTCTTTATCTGTTCATATGTTGTGATATGATTTAATTACTTTCTGCCAACTTGTTTTAATTTGTGAACTCCTTAAAGATGAGGATTATCTCTATTGTATATGCCATGTCCATCCTTGTGTATTTTAAAATATATCAATAAAAAAGTAAATACATTATTAACTATAATTGGCTGACCTCAGCAAGTATTTGCAAAAGTTGAGGAGAGAATATTTTGCAAATAGTCAAGAAATGGACTGAATAAAATATAATTTCTTCAAAACATTTTAATGGATTCTTCTTGTCAGGCATTCAAAATGGTGATAATTAAATGCACTGTATGGACCTCGTTTAGATCCTGATTCAAACAAACCAACAATAGGAAACATTTTTGAGAAAACTGGAGAAAACCAAACATAGACTGAGTATAAGTTATCTCAAGGGATTATTGCTAAATTTATTGATCGTGATTGTGGTATAGTGATAATGGTATAGTAGTTATATTTTAAAAGTCCTTGTCTATGAGAGATAATCAATGGAGTATTTAGAGGTTAAAATATATGATGTCTGGGATTTGCTTTAAAATACTCCGGATGTATTATTCATGAATTCTTCAAAGAGAAAAAAATTACAGAAGATTTAGAGACACATGGTGGCGCTGCAGGACAAGATGAAAACTGCATGGAGGACATTGGGCTCCATTATTCAGAGGAACAGGGAACATCTCACCCACTGAAAAGAGAGGTATTAAGGAGCTTCACTTACAGAGCTGCTGGAGAGCTATACACCCTTTGGGGAGTGCTAATTTTAAAACGCAGCATTTCAGCCTCCCAAATTAGAGCTGAACTTAAAATTTTCCATAAAAGACGTTGCTTAAAGGAACTATGACGATCAGAGGAGTACTCGCTCTGCGGAAAAGGCAAGTCCTGATTCTCTTTGTTTTGCTGGGATTGTCTGAGGCGGGTCCTAATTCTGTGCACTATTCTGTGGCCGAAGAAACAGAAATTGGCTCTTTTGTGGCCAATCTGGTAAGAGATCTGGGGCTTGGGGTGGAGGAGCTGTCCTCACGGGAGGCCCGAGTAGTGTCTGATGATAATGAAAAGCATTTGCACCTCAATTTGCTGACTGGAGATTTGCTCCTAAATAAGAGACTGGACCGAGAAGAGCTATGTGGCTCCACAGAGCCCTGTGTGCTGCATTTTCAATTGGTATTGCAAAACCCTTTACAGTTTTTTTGGGCTGAGCTGCACATCAAAGATATAAATGATCACTCCCCTACATTTCTGGATAAGGAAATACTTTTGAAAATATCAGAAAGTGCCACTACTGGAACCACATTTCTAATGGAGAGTGCTCAAGATTTGGACATTGGAAGCAATAGTCTCCAAAACTACACAATTAGTCCCAATTCTCATTTCTACATTAAAATTCAAGACAGCGGTTATGGAAAGATATACCCAGAACTGGTCCTGGACAGAGAGTTAGACCACGAAGAGGAACCTGAGCTCAGATTAATACTCATAGCTCTGGATGGTGGATCTCCACCCAGGTCTGGGACAACTTTGGTTCTCATCAAGGTCTTGGACATCAATGACAATGCACCTGAGTTTCCTCAGAAGCTCTATGAGGCGCAGATCCTGGAGGACACACCCATTGGATCCTGGATAATAACCATCACTGCTAAGGATTTGGATGCAGGCTATTATGGAAAAATATCTTATATGTTTTTCCACGCATCTGAAGACATTCGTAAAACGTTTGAAATAAACCCAACATCTGGGGAAGTTCACCTGAGATCAAGCTTAGATTTTGAAGTAATACAGTCCTACATTATAAATATTCAGGCAACAGATGGTGGGGGTCTTTCAGAAAAATGCACTCTTCTAATTACCGTAATAGATATAAACGACAATGCACCAGAAGTGACCATGTCATCAATTACAAAGATAATTCCAGAGAATGCCTCAGAGACCCTTGTGGCTCTCTTTAGTGTCCGAGACCAAGACACTGGGGAAAATGGGAGGACGGTTTGCTCTATTCAAGATGACCTCCCCTTTCTTCTAAAACCGACCTTCAAGAACTTTTTCACTGTAGTTTCGGAAAAAGCACTAGACAGAGAGGTAAGAGCCGAGTACAACATCACCATCACCGTAACAGATATGGGTACCCCCAGACTGAAAACCGAGTGCAATATAACGGTACTGGTCTCCGACGTCAACGACAACGCCCCGGCCTTCACCCAAACCTCCTACACGCTGTTCGTCCGCGAGAACAACAGCCCCGCCCTGCACATCGGCAGCGTCAGCGCCACAGACAGAGACGCGGGCGCCAACGCCCAGGTCACCTACTCGCTGCTGCCGCCCCAGGACCCGCAGCTGCCCCTGGCCTCCCTGGTGTCCATCAACGCGGACAACGGGCAGCTGTTCGCCCTGAGGGCGCTGGATTACGAGGCCCTGCGGGTCTTGGAGTTCGGCGTGGGCGCCGTGGACCGCGGCTCCCCGGCGCTGAGCAGCCAGGCGCTGGTGCGCGTGCTGGTGCTGGACGCCAACGACAACTCGCCCTTCGTGCTGTACCCGCTGCAGAACGGCTCTGCGCCCTGCACCGAGCTGGTGCCCAGGGCGGCCGAGCCGGGCTACCTGGTGAGCAAGGTGGTGGCGGTGGACGGCGACTCGGGCCAGAACGCCTGGCTGTCGTACCAGCTGCTCAAGGCCACGGAGCCCGGGCTGTTCAGCGTGTGGGCGCACAACGGCGAGGTGCGCACGGCGCGGCTGCTGAGCGAGCGCGACGCGGCCAAGCACAGGCTGCTGGTGCTGGTCAAGGACAATGGCGAGCCGCCGCTGTCGGCCAGCGTCACGCTGCACGTGCTGCTGGTGGACGGCTTCTCGCAGCCCTACCTGCCGCTCCCGGAAGCGGCTGCCGACGCGGCCCAGGCCGACCCGCTCACCGTCTACCTGGTCATCGCGTTGGCGTCGGTGTCGTCGCTCTTCCTGTTCTCGGTGCTGGCGTTCATCGCGGTGCGGCTGTGCAGGAGGAATGGGGCCGCCTGGGTGGGTGGCTGCTCAGTGGCTGAAGGCCACTTTTCGGGCCATCTGGTGGACGTCGGCGGCACCGGGACCCTTTCCCAAATCTACCAGAGTGAGGTACGTCTAATGGGAGGTACTGGGACAGATGAATTTAAATTTCTGAAGCCAATTATTCCCAATCTCTCAGTCCATGATACTGATAGGAATATTGAGGAAAGTGAGAACTTTAGGAATAGCTTTGGATTCAACATTCAATAAAATAATTTATTTTAAATTACTATTCTTTATCATTCTTGGGAAACGGGATATTTTTGCCAATTTGTAATGCATTTTAGATTGTACTGCTGCTGCATGCATTGGTTCTCACTATCTCATCAGTACTTTAAAAATCTTATTAGTGGCTATAATGACATGGAAATATAATTTGGTTTTTTTTTTTCATTTATTTGGTCAAAATGTCATACTAACAAACTTATTGCTAACTTTTTGTTGTGATAATGGCACTGTAATGCAAGACAGTATTATTAATTGCACTTACAAACTTAAGTATTAAGATTGAATTCCACAATATATGTAATTTACTTCTAGACATATTATCAAATCATAAATAAAGCAAAAAATTTTAATGCTATTGAATCTGAGTAGAAAATAATTGGATTTTATCTAACTGTTCTTGAAATTTTTTATTATAAAGGGTAAAACTGCTGCCTCTCCATATTCAGTACTAGGGTATCTGTTTGTTTGTTTGTTATATGGTGGTTTTTTTTTTTCAAGAATTTATGACAAAATAAAGGTGACCACATTGGAAATCATTGATTTAAGTAATTTTCTTTTTTTGTTGTTGATATGCTGTTTGGGAGGACAAATCTTATAATATTCTGGGACTTAATATTGCTGTTTTTTCTTTAAATATGTCATATTTGCTAGTTTAAGTTTTATTATTTTATATTGTCCATTACTTAACTAGAATGTAGTTTATGGCATCATCCTGAGTAAAATAACCCTCCATCAGCAAAGTATAGATAAAAACAGGTTAAGAAATCAAAATGAAAATGCAAACTGTAAATGAAAAGAATTAGGTTTACTTTTCCATTGATATTTAAGAGTAAACATATAAAATTTTTAATATTTTATGGCCTCTCTCAAATATCTACAAAAAAGGAATGGATCTGTATTTAGTTTATATATACCTCATGGTGTTACAAATTTTGTCTCCAATCTATAAGTAGACAGTTAAATGGAAGATTATAAGAGAGATTTTGATAACTGGAATGTAGTGTGGATATAAAGCTAGTGTGCACATACACTTCTGTAATTTCACTCATAAAACTAACTATTATGGACTAGTTGATGCAGTAAAATGGAATTTTACTTGACACTGTGAAATGGGTGAAACAAATTCCAATTTCCTTAGGAATCTCTTTTTTTTGCGTCACCTAATTTTTACTGGTTTTATTTTGTGTTGCAATAGACACTAGTTGTGAGGATTACATTTAAATAGACATTTAAGCAATAAAATTCTGAAAAAGACTATTTAGGCCCAATTTATACCTCATGTCATAAGAAATCATATGCTTTTTATGCATAAGAATAAGAATAGATAAGAACAGAATATTTTATTTGAACCATAAGAAACAGACTTGTAGACTACGAGATAGAATAAAATCCAGGATCAGATTCTTTTATATAAAAGAATTCAGATATAATAGAGGAGGTGTCAAAATCACTGGGGCTTGCAGGGAGACTGATTACTTAGCGAATGTTATTGGGAAAATTGGCTCACTATATAAAGAAACAAAATTATCTCAGGCCATATAAAAATAATAAACATATGGATGTAAAAATCTGAAATATTTTAATTGGAACAAATGTAATTAATCTAAGTAAAAATATATTTATGACCTTACTATTGGTTTGAATTTCTTAAACAAGGCTTTAAAAAATATAAACAATAAAGATGAAAATTGGAAAGTATTACGACCTCAAAACTAGATGATAGCACAGACAAGCAAGCAGATGACAGAGAGAAACTACTTGCAGAATTTTAACTGAAGAGGGTTAGTATTTAGATTATTCAAATAACTCTTTCAGATCAGCAAAAATAAAGTCAGGAGAGCCAGTAGAATTTTTTTAGGTCAGGGGGAAAGGAAATTTAAAAAAAAAAAAAAGGTAAAACAGAAAGTCTGAAAAGAACATGAAGTGATGCTCAACCTCATTAGTTGATTAAATGCATATTAAAATAAGACACCAGTTTATACTCAGTTTATATGACATTAGTAAAGATGGGAAATTTGGGTAATATCAGATGTAACAATAGGAAGTCGCATGTGCAGCCCACTTTGAGAGATTTTCAGTAGTATTTAGTGAAATTTAGTATGTACATATCCTATGATCTAGCAATTCTGTTTTGGGGTGTATAAACCAGAAAACTCTTACCCACTTTACCAAATGATGTGCATGAGAATGTTCATGTTGGGAAAGCAAAAAACAGGAGGTCACCCACATATCCCATCAGTAAAGCAATCGATAAATAAAATGTGGGACATGGTTGTGAAGGAATATTATGCAGTGATCAAAAGGACTAACTAGGTATACATACAACCACATGGGTAAATCTCAAAAGTATTAAAAGGAAGAAAGAGACTGATAGTCCAGTACAGTGCCATATATCTATGTAATAGATAATATCTTATATTTGTAGAATGTACAAATATCCAATAAATATCTCAGAAGGAGAGAAGAAGAAACAGATCTAGGAAAAAAGATATGTGTTTATACATAGGAGAATAAGAGTTTTAGAGAAAAATGGGATCTAACCAATGGCCATTACAGAAATTATCTCTAAGAGATTGTTTAAATTTATTGCAGCATTATAGAGTTGATTTAGTATCAATCAGTTGAAATTGGTAAAAAATACATATTATTTCTTTAATCTCTCAAGAATATCAATTACCCAAACCCCAAAGCTAAGAGTTTACTTATAATTTTGAGACATAATAACATCCTTGAGACTTTACATTTTTAATAAGGATGACATAAATTATGTAGACCAACACTACGACTGAAAACAATTAGCTAATAAAACACTAATATATTGTCAGGTCACAGTTAATGTTTAAAGGTGATTCAGAGAGCCCTGAATTAATTTTTTCCCTAGGAACATTTGGAATTCTGGGAAATGAGAACCTCTAGGTTCAGACAATTAAGGAAGAAATCAAAGCCCAACAAAGTAAGAAGTTTATAGAAATCCCTCACATTAATAAATATGGACTCTTAAGATCAACACCTTTAGGATGAAAGTAAACTAGAAGTGGATGAGTGAGCCCTTGTGTGGAAATATCAGCTTTGAACTTGATTTTTAGCATGAACTTAATTTAAGGTGGTCATTGACAAGCAGTTCTCCCAGATCCTGATAGAATCGAATGCAGATCATCAGTGAAAGGTTTATTCATTCTAAGCCTAGAATTATTAATGCACATAATTTTTATGTTCTTAAACACAAAGATAATTTCATACACAAGGAAACATGGCACCATTAGTGAGAGCCAGTAGAAAAAACAGAACACAAATAAATTTTCAAACACTTTAAATATTTTAATTATCATGCACAGTCTGTAATATGCTAACCACTTTAATTGAAATAAAAGCTATACTTGAAGATGTATAGGGAACAAGAAACAATAAATGTGAAAGATTAGAAAGGTTAGAAAGATTAGAACCAAATAGAACTCTTGGAATGGAAAAATATGATAATCAAAATTTAAAGCTGAATAAGAGTTTTAATAGAAAATTAGATTTCACCAAATAAAAAATTTATGGAGTGAAAAATAGGTCAGAATATAGTTTATCTAGAATGCAGCTCAGAGAGAGAGAATGAGATGAAAAATATGGAGGAGATAGTTACAAACACAAGACAGAGTGAAAAGGTTTAACATATTTAACTAGAATTCCAGGAGGAGCAATGAGAAAGATTTGTTCAGAAGCAATATTTGAAAAAATAATGGCTGGAATTTTCCAGAATTTATGAAAATGTCAATGCAGATTCAAGAGACCCAAATAAATCTAGCAGGATAAATAAAAAATAACCATGCCTAGAAACATTGTGAAAATTTGAAAGACAAAGACAAAGATATCTTTAACAAAAAAGAAAGAAAGAAAGAAAGAGAGAGAGAGAGAGAGAGAGAGAGAGAGAGAGAAAGCAAGCAAGCCAGCCATGGGAAAAAGACATTTAATCTTTAAACACACAACAATCAAACTCATAGCTATGTTCCATGTTGACAATTTCTCAACAGTAGCAATGGAAACTAAAAGAAAGTAAGACATCTTCAATGTACTGAAAGAAATTAGCAAACTGTCATGTCTAAATAGTTTTTGCACACAAGAGTCATTAAATGAGAGAATCAAATCAATTGTGTATCAGTTTGGTTTTAAATTAGTCAAGATCATAGGAAAGAATTGGTGTAAACACATTTTATCTTTCAAATATAACTTCTTATAATTTTCCTTTTTCCATCCCTTGCCACAATTCTGAGTACAGGAATTTGGCCTGTATATGTTTCTAGACTTCGACATTTCTACTGATATTCACTTCTACTCTAGTCACTTATGACCATGGCCACTTTCTGGAGATGGTAGTCTCTTAGAGCTGAAATTGCAAATTCATACACACTTATCTTAATCTATGACTTACATTCTTTCTCAAAGGCTTCAACCATCATTTATACCAATAAATTCCAAATTCATCTCTGCAGCCCAAACTTCTTTCCTCAACTTCATTTATGTAATGAAAGATCATTTATATTACTTTTACATGGATACTCTATGGACACTTCAAATTCAACATGTTTTAAGTTAAAATTTTCCCTTCCTCAAATGAAAGATCTTCTCTAGCTCTATACCTGTTTCCTCTTCTCCTCTTCCTGTATTTACTTTATCAGTTAATAGCACCAACATTTGCTCAGTCCCTTAAACCTGTAAAAAAGTTCTTACTTTTACTCCTTACACCATTTCCTCTATATCTAATCTATTACCACATGCAATAGATTTTATCTTTATCATCCTAATATAACTGTATTTCATATCTTAATTGTATCATATCTTAACTGTATTACTGCAACTTCTTTTTTAAATTTACTTTTTAATAAATTTTTTTGGGTGACATTGGTTAATAAAATTATATAGGTTCCAAATATACAATTCTATAATACATCATCTGTATATTGCATTGCGTGTTCACCTCCCAAAGTCAATCTCCTTCTGTCACCATATATTTGACTCCCTGTACCCTTATCTACCTCCCCCTTTTCCATTCCCTCTGGTAACCACTAAACTGTTGTATGTGTCTATGAGTTTTTGTTTGTCTTGTTCATTTGTTGCAACTTCTAATCAGTCCGTTGCATTTAGTCTTACTCCTCTTTATTCTCAACAATGAAACAGGATGTTTTGAAAAATAAAAACATCGGTCGACTTGAAACTAATAACAAAAATAAATGATCCAATTAGACAATGAACAGGGGACCTGAACAGACAATTCCTCCCAAAAGACATACAAATGACCAATAGTTATATGAAAAGATACTCAACTTCACTAGATATAAGAGAAATGCAAAAAAATAAAAATAAAAACATGGTCATGTCGCTTTTCTATTTAAAACCCTTCAATAATTTTGCATTTCCACTGACATGCATGACCTTATTCTTATTGTCTTTTCAAAGAGTATTTGCTGACAGCTAGAGACAATTAAGACCTTTGGTTCCCATTTCCAGTTTTCCTGGGAACCTCTTACTCACTAAATCAATTACATAAGAGGCCTCTTGGTTATTTTTAATTGCTTTATATAGTGCCTTCACAGAGATGATAATTTATTTGAGATTGGGGCTATATTTTAAATATGTTTTTTTATATCCACCACAGCTCTAGCAAATTGTGGTTTATTGTGTTAAGGACTGAATAGTAATTGCCTCACATGTTGCAAAGAATCTAACTCAGAAAATAAGAATATAGAAGTAAATACAGTTAAAATTCATCAACAAACAAGATAATATTTTCTTGCAAACTTATTTGACTTTGTTTAAAACCTGAGAATCTGCAGAGTCGCATGGTGGCGCTGCAGGATAAGATGGGGAAATTTTTGAAACATCAGATGCCCTAGCTTCTATTGACTGGTGGAATTGAGAGTGCTGGAGAAACAGGGAGGGAAAAGGGGGCTTTCAAGAGATAGCTAGGCAGCCAACGACACCCTCGCGACAGGATTACAAATCTATAGATTCTCAAAGGTCCTGGTTGATAGGAGCAACTCCCAGAGCTGTTTGAGATTGAGCTGAAAACATTTCTGCAGGAAGACCTTTGAATAAAAGAGCCATGGAGCCGAGAGAGAAAAGCCCTCAGCAGATAAGGCAAGTGCTGATTTTCTTTGTTTGCCTGGGAGGGTCTTTGGTGTGTTCAGAGAACTGGCGCTTTTCTGTAGCAGAAGAAACAGAGACCGGCTCCTTTATAGCCAACGTGGTGAAAGACGTAGGTTCAGGTGTGGAAGACTTGGCTGCGCGGAGGGCCAGAGTCATCTTTGACGATTATAAACCATACCTGTGGTTGGATCAGCAGACTGGCAACTTGCTCTTAAATGAGCAATTGGACCGGGAGGCACTTTGTGATTTCACGGAGCCATGTGTATTGCATTTTCAGGTGTTACTTGAAAATCCTTTGCAATTTTTTCGGGCTGAGCTTTGGGTCAGAGACATAAATGATCACACTCCCACATTCTTAGATAAAGATATACTTCTGAAAATTCAAGAAGGTACTGCTCCAGGAACCTCATTTCAAATGGAGAGTGCTCAGGACTTGGATGTAGGAAAGAATGGTGTCCAAAACTACACATTAAGCCCCAATCCTCATTTCCACCTTAAATTAGAAGACAGTGATGAGGGCAGAAAATACCCAGAGCTGGTACTGGACCAATCTCTGGATCGAGAGAAGGAGCCTGAGCTTAGATTAACGCTAACAGCCTTGGATGGTGGGTCTCCGCCCAGGTCTGGAACTGCAGTGGTTCGCGTTTTGGTCTTAGATATCAATGACAATGCCCCTGAGTTCCAGAGTCCCCTCTATGAGGTTCAGATACCAGAAAACAGCCCTCTGGACTCCTTGGTCGTCAAGGTGTCTGCTACAGATTTAGACACAGGAATAAATGGAGAACTATCTTATTCGTTTTCGCACATCTCCAGAGACATACGGAAAACATTTGAAATCCATCCAGTCTCTGGCGAAGTCCATTTAAAAGCACTTTTGGATTTCGAGTTAATTCAGTCTTACATGATAAATATTCAGGCCATTGACGGTGGAAGCCTCACGGGAAAATCTACGATTTTAATTCGGGTCCTAGATGTGAATGATAACCCACCAGAAATAGTCATAACATCTCTTACCAGCCCCATACCGGAAAATTCATCACCTGAGATGGTCGTCGCTGTTTTTGGTGTACGAGACCAAGACTCTGAGGACAACGGGAAGATGGTTTGCTCAATTCAAGATAATCTCCCCTTTCTCTTGAAACCCACTTTCAAGAATTTCTACACCCTGGTAACAGAGCGCCCATTGGACAGAGAGACCAGAACTGAATACAACATTACCATCACCGTCACTGATTTGGGGACCCCCAGACTGAAAACCGAACATAACATAACCGTGATAGTCTCCGACGTCAACGACAACGCCCCGGCCTTCACTCAAACCTCCTACACGCTGTTCGTCCGCGAGAACAACAGCCCCGCCCTGCACATCGGCAGCGTCAGCGCCACAGACAGAGACGCGGGCGCCAACGCCCAGGTCACCTACTCGCTGCTGCCGCCCCAGGACCCGCAGCTGCCCCTGGCCTCCCTGGTGTCCATCAACGCGGACAACGGGCAGCTGTTCGCCCTGAGGGCGCTGGATTACGAGGCCCTGCGGGTCTTGGAGTTCGGCGTGGGCGCCGTGGACCGCGGCTCCCCGGCGCTGAGCAGCCCGGCGCTGGTGCTGGTGCT